AATAAATCACTTTATTTGATAATCACAGATATAATCTTGGCGTTATTAAAAAAAAGAAGAAGAAACAACCTTTTTGAAAATAGAGTAGATATATTTTAATTGGTGTGAGATTACATTATCACATTTAAAAGAAAATCAATTAGTTTTACCTTATCATATTTTTAAAATAAAAATAATCAGTTTTATCTCAACACGTTAAAAAGAAAATACAAAAAAAAATCTCACATTCGTTTATTTCATCAGGCTAAAACGATAGGCAGTTAGAAGAGCTTAACATCAAGGAAGAAGAAAGACAGAAACAAGGGAAAAGTACTCAAGGGATTGCTGATTAAGGTATGTTTAGGATTGTATTTTCATAGTTTGGGCACAAAAGGTCTTAAATTATTTGTATTTTCTTAACTTTTATTCAAATTCGGCACTGTTTCGGTGACTTTTTGGTGGCATAATAGGTACCAATAGAAAGGTCTTGAAAAGATCTTTCCAATGGTATTGTAACATCTTGTTTGGTTTTGTTGTTTAGAAGATACAAATTTTTAAAGTTAATTGAGAACTTGATTTTCAATAGTTTTGACAACCCAACCTTGGATCACTGGAACTTCATATTCCAATAACATTTTTGGTCATTTCTTTGTTGGCTTTTGTATTATGAAATGAGATGTTAAATTTGGCATCAATGGCTTAGTTAGAGGTTTCCTGTGTTAAGAGAATTAAAACCTCAAAATAGGCTTGTTGGTACTGAAAACTCAAAAATCTGGATATTTCTGTGATGATTTCTAGAATTTTGACTTTCAAAACTTGAGAATTTTATGTTTTTTCTAATTAAAAAAATTTTTGGTGTTGTAGTATGATTTAAATACTTCAAAGCGGTATTGATTTTATCACTGGAAATAGTTTGAGTTAAGAGTTATAAGAGCTCAAAGTAGACCAAATGACCATCTAGATTTTGAAAATTTCAAAAAATAGAAAATTCCTTTTTATTATTTTTTATTTTGATTTTAATTAATATGTGATAAATTCTACTACAAATTTCATAAATATTGAATTTTTGATTTCTAATATATTTTTATGTCTAAAAGTATATATATTTATATTTTATAAAATTATCTCTTAAGTTAGTAAATTTTATAAAAATATCAAAAATTAAGAAAAAACTACAAACATGATT